ATGATTGTGTTATTTCTGATGGGTTCTGAAGACATTAATAACTTCGCAAGAATACTGCTTTCTGATGCATAATTTACAAAAAGCCTAGTCTAACTGATCTATTTTTTAGCGAGATGATGGTTACTATATTGACATCCCATCACCTTTACACTTGGCTGCCTGATATAACTGTATTCATACGTGGCTATATTGATCTAGAACTCAGCTGAATTGGAAGATCGAGAACGAGAATATACTTTTTTAATGACGCTAAGAATATGTTTAATTAACTTACGAAATGACAAGGAAGTTAAAAGGATAAAGATTCTAGTACAAAAAAACACTATTAGTTATTTTTACAGAATTCTATAAGCCGTGTTCTCTCACTGATGTATTGGATAGCAATGAATCGAAAGCATAAACTAGATCTTTCTCCAGTTAATCGAATTACATAATTACCATACTAGACGGGATCTATCAACTCTATAACTACTAAATTAGAGTGACGATCACTGGGAAATATAATAATTTGGCTGGATACTTAGAACGGAACACAGAAAAGTCACTAGACACAGCGATCAGCAAGTATAAGATTTATGCGCACTGCTGTATTCGCAAACATTCGGAATAGGCCGATATGCATCAAGAAGTTGGAAAAAAGTTATGTAACGCACGTCTTGCGGAATCCCAAACGAAGTTACAAAATATTTCTATGGCACCTTGTAAAAACACCAAATGTTGAGTAACAATTTTCCGGCAGCTGTAAGCTTCCTTAGAATCTAGTTCGGTTTGATATTTTAGTGCCAAGGTGGAGCTGATTGACGTCAACCAATTTACAGTGGTGAATTAATTGGTCGGTGAAACGCAAGATATGCTTGTCTCACAGGGAAGAGTAATCTAAATATACAAAATGAGTATTGTACACACTTGCCGTCAATCAAAGACGTGATAACATGGAGAGTTCAGCACGATGACAGGTTTATTTGAATTTAAGTTAATTTACTGTCATAATTTACATCCAATTAGTTGCTATACCCAGGAATGTATACCATGAACGAGTGTTCGGTCGATTCTTTTCATTTATTTGAAATGTGATCGAGCAAAAATCTCTCACGAAAACACAATTATTGATCCAAAGACCTCAAATGGACAAACGTCAGAATATAGGGCTACCAAACAGCACAAACACAATACAAACCCCATGAAACGTAGAAATTCAATAAATTTAGCATTTTGGTTGCCAGTATAATTTCTGTCTGTTTGTTTAAGTCTGAGATTCTTTGGATACATGCAGCTAAAGTAAGCGTCCAAATCTCCTCCAGAGCCACGATAATTAATGAACGCGCTTAATCGAAGTCGTTTCTTAAGCAATTAATTCTCGACTTCGATTGAGTCCGGGAGTGCATATATAAAGTGGTCAAGAATTAAGCCCAAGTCAGATTACAAGTAATTGTAGTGACCATGAAATTGACAACTTCCGATGACTTATAACATCGAATCATACCTTTGTAAATGGTTCGTGTATAAGCATTTTATTTTATTAGAAAAAAACTACTATTATTTATTGATCACCGTCTTAATTGCTCATTTTGACAGTCATCAAACTATACATTACCTATTAAATCGTAATTCAAAACAATAACATCAAGATACTGTTTCCTTATTGATTTCTGTATCTATTCCTGTATTGTGTATGCAGCCACTATACACAATTCTTGTTACACTTGCACATTTTCTTAGGGAAAACAACACTGATGCTTTAGTCGATCTTCTGAAATAATTTTAGACAACACATGGTAAAGTCCAAAAGTGGTGTTCGGATTTGCCTATCTTAATGAACCAATCGAGCTATACTGGCTGGAACAATCGTTCCCCAAAGTCCTACCATGCCAGATAGGTCGGTTGAAGAGTGGTAAGACTAAAAGCAGCAAACCCAAAGTCCGAGGGCGAAGTCGTACTGCTGACTGTACAGAGGTGTGACGGCGGTAAAATATTTCCTTCAGACAACCAACATAACAGCGATGCTGCCTTCCCATAAGGAGGAGTGGGGTTAGGAAAGGCAGGCCCTAAAAATGCACACCACCTTATCCCACGGATTTCCGTCCCCGATAGTAAGGCCCCATCAATTACGGAGCTAACATGAAAGCTACTCACAAAAGGCCGTATGTGACCGGCTTCAAGCAGTTGTCCCTTTGGTACTGTGGTCACACTCTCAGGTCACCAAGACCACCTCTAATCCAATTTCCTTTCTAGGTACCTCTAGAAGAACCCTTCCACAGCATGGGCAACCGGGAAGTGAAGACCGTCCCCATACCTCTAACAGCATCTAAGATCACTGTATTCATAATCGACCTACCTCGACTTTCAACTCTAAACTTCCCCTTTTGGCTTCCTCCTCATATGTCGTCATGGCCAACGATTCTAGTACGCGAAACAGTATCCTGGGTCTACTGAGACCTCGCTCCAAACTACACATTGAAGCCTTCAACGTACACACACTATGTCAAATCGCCCAGCAAACCTACTTGGCTAAAATCCTAGAATCTCGTACCACTGATGTATGCTGTGTCTCAGAAACACGCATGCAGGATTCTAGTGTGGTCATTCACTTGATCTCACCTCGCCAAAACAGGGAACGGACGAAATATACACCCCGTTTATCTGGCGACCCGATGGCTAGTTCTTGTGGACTGGCAGGTGTAGCCATGGCACTGAGCACGACGGCAGAACAAGTGGTGTTAAAATGGATCCCCGTTAACAGTCTGCTATGTCCTATTCGGCTAAACGACTCCGTAAGAACTCGGAAGGACAGGGACACACCTCGTTACCATTTCGTTTCTGCCTTCACTCCCACCGACTGCAGCCCGGATGAAGTGAAAGATGAATTTTACAGAAAGCTATCTGAACTTCTTCAGAAAGCTAAACGTTCAGACATAGTACTCGTAGTAGGTGACTTTAATGCCCAGATAGGTAGTTTGAACCAAACAGAAAGGCATTTAGGTGGGTATTTCAGTATTCCGGTACAACAAACAGATAATGGTGACCGTCTGCTGCAACTGTGCTCAGACAATCGTTTATTTTTTGCAAACACAAATTTTAAGCATAAGGAGAGACACATTCCAACATGGCGACCCCCTACACCAAACCAACGATGGACTCAGACCATATTGCCATCAGTCATCGTTGGAGAGGGTCGGTAGAAGATTGTCGCTCATTCTGGAGTACCTGATTGGACTCCGAACACGTATCTGCTTGCGCCTCACTGGACGCAAAACAGCCTCAGTAAAAAGACCCATTAGAACTGAACTGAGTAGCGAGAAAACCAAAAGTAGGTTCCAGGAACAACTGAGGTCACAATTAGATAGTTCTGAAAACGAGACTGACCCAGATGTTGCTTGGAAAGATATACAAGCAGCTATGGAAACAGCAGCGACACCTGTTAGTGATCTAAACCACAGGGTTACAAAGAACCAATGGATTTCCTCAAGGTCTATTGCACTGATGGATTCTCGTAAACTCATCCCATCAGGCTCTGAACACGATGAAGAACGAAAACAAACCAGGTTTAGATTAAGCAAAAGTCTAAGGAACAACCGTGAGCAGTGATGGGCAACGAAAACAAAAGAGATGGGATAGGCAGTAGCTGTAGGTAACACCATACAGCTTTTCAAACTAATAAAAGAAACCAGAATTAAGAAATCAAGCGTAAGTGAAACCATCTCGGAAAACGAGGACAATCTTATATGCTATCAGCCCAGACGTTTGGAACACTCTAACGAGCAGTTCAGCTGGCCTTTAGCTACTCTACAACTACCCACCATTCCCAAACAAACGAAGAAGAGCAGCTGGTCCAGATGGATTGGTTCCAGAGGTCTTCAAGTATGGTGGTCCAGTCTTAGCGATTAGATTGACTAATATTTTACCTAAAATTTGTGAACTGGCTGTAATCCGATCTGACTGGTCGCAATCACTGAAAGTCCCAATACATAAAGAAAAGGCTAAAATCATCCTGTGGTAAGTATAGAGGGATTAGTTTGACTAACATAGCATCTAAAATACTAGCCTCAGTAATTATCGAACGCCTAACTATGACTCGTGAACTGCAAAATCAGGCTGGCTTCAGACCTGATCGTAGCTGCATCGACCACATATTCACCATTCATCAGGCTCTAGAACACAGGCATGTTTATCGACGTCCGACAATGGAAGTATTTCTTGACTTAAAAGCAGCATTTGACTCTGTAGACCTAGAGGTTCTCTGGCAGTGTCTTTCATTGAAAGGTGTACCTCAGAAGTACATAAACCTTGTGAAGGCTCTTTACTAGAACACTACTAGTCGAGTCAGAGCTTATGGCGAACTGTCGTCTAATTTTGCAAACCCAAGTAGTGTACGTCAAGGTTGTCCACTTTCTTAATTTCTGTTTAACTTCATCATAGACCTACTGATGGAAATAACATTCTCGTCGACTGAATTTTCGGGTATTGATCTCCTCCCAGGAGGTTCACTTATTGACCTAGAATTCACAGATGGTATGGTCCTGTTTGGTGAAGACGCTGATTAAATGCGGAGTTTTGGTAGCACTGCGCAACAATGCCAGGATGCTTGAGATGCATTTCTCCCCCTCTAAATCCAAGTTGTTGCTTCAAGACTGGCCTGCATCAACATCTGGACTAAGGATAGGGAGTGAAGTAGTCTAAAATAGCTGTATCAATAGATCACTGTAAATAAATTATCAGTGACTATTTGAGCATAAACATGTTTCGATAGTATAAAATATGTAGTCCGGATGGTAATCATGTGCTGAACTGCAAAAGGGTATGGCGTACTGATATCGTCTCTTTTTATCCATGATTATTCGATATGGAAGGAAGAAAAAGGTTCATACAATATATTACATCGTGAATTAAAAGTACCGTGATATCAATGATTATTGAGGTACCTAATATGTACGTAACTATAGTTAATATGTTAAGGACCCATACGAAGCTACTCTAAACAATCCAGGGAAAAATAATGGTTAACAGGTTATCACATGAACAGTATATTCAAAATGAATACAACAAAATTCATTACTGTAATAACACCAAGGTTTCCGTAAATGAACTATCATGAAAAATCAGTAATAAATAAATACATAAAAACACAAATGATCGAGTAAAGATAATGTGGCTTCACACTAAATTATACGTACATAGATCCCATACAATAAGTGAATGCATGATAAAGCTAATACAAGAAAAACGGGAAAGTAATAGAAATCCTGAAGTGAAACAATTACCTTCAGAGTCATAAAATGTATTTCATTCAAAGATTTGAAGGCATGATAAACTCATTTTTCGTGAAAATACATTATATTCATTCACAAAGAATGGCGAAAGATAGTTATTGCTGCGAATATTTATTATTAATTAGTGGTATATGTTGCCACTATAACATCATAATATACTAAGTATAACATTGCAAAATTCCTACATGGTTATCAAGAAAGTGAAATCGTCTGGATTTGTTGAAAAGGTTTCCAGTATACTTGATGAGAGTTTAGAAGAGACAATTTAGTATAAAAAACATAAGAGGACAAAAATGTGCCGTAAACGCTTCAGGATAAAATTACATTGGAGTTTTGTGACCTGACAAAAATACACGTAAGGAGAATTACTCATATTAGAGTAGAACTAGTTAACAACTTTAACATAATCATACAATTAAGATTATGAAATAGACTAATGTTGAAAACATTGTATGTAAGTATTTTCTTTTTTAGCTTAGTCTTCATCGTCAATCATATCTTCATCATCACTTTCCTCAGCTTTGAGTTTATTTGTACTTCTATCTGAATCAACGTCTAAAAACTTGTAGTCACATGTAGCCATATCTATTGCCCATTGGAATTTTTCTCTTTGAGTTCTGTTAAAAATTTTCTCAATAGGAACGTTATACTTTTTACACCTTTTTAAAAGGAATACAAAATAATTGAGACTTGAAAATAGATAACTAGCAAAAACAAAGATCAACACATGTGGAGCTGATTGGAACCGAGAAAATTGAAATTGGGATAATTGGTTGTAATAATATAACACAATGTATTTCCTTTATGGTCTACAGTTAAGGTGATATTTGTATAAACAGGCTATAGCAATAATGGTCTAACTTTATATTCAGAAAAATAAACATCTACCGCTTGTAGAACAAGCCTGGAATTTAGAAATTATTCACCTATGATTATATGATCGCTTATTTTTTTCAAATGGTAGGCCGAACAAGTTGTATTAATGATGTTCTTATTGACCATGAGAGAACAAACGTGTGAAAGAATTTCGACCTTAGGCTGTTCAGTGCTGGACATTTTTACATATATCATGACGAAATTATTAGTTAATTGTGTTTTCTGATGAACCTATAACAATAGCTGATGCCATCGTATCTGAGAAATATAGTGCCACGAAAGTATCAACTCGCCACATGAGTAGATATGATAAGAAGTCTAAAGTGAAAATACATAGATAAGAATTAAATAGTTCTGAGTTTAAGATCTACTGTTTTACACTGTTTTCTAGAATCCACTGTTAACGAGAATACAGAAAACTTGTTTGACATTCTCCAACCTATTCCATAAATGAAATCCACTAGATATCTAAATTATATGGAATGTTTTAAGCTCGTGTACTTATTTCTTTGTTATTGTTTAATAGGTAAAGTCTGAAATGAATGTTGAATGTGTTGAATTGAAGTAGGATGAGAAGTCTGTTCAGAAATGTCAATATTTCTACTAAATACTCTACATGGTGTCGAAATTCTGGAGGAACATCTCACACAGAGAAACTAGTTAATGACCCTAAGCAAACATTTAAAAATATGATAAACGCAAATGAAAACTTGAGCTTTAATTTGAGCATTAATGTGGTGAATTTGCGAACGATTCACCAAAATCAATTTCCTGGTGGGTGCTTTGAATGACTACTAGCGTCCTTTTCCAGACGTCAAACGAAGCTGAAAATTGTGAAGAGGCTTATATATACATATAGCCATAAGGAATATAATCTTTTGAATGAATGATATTCTGCTAGACCAATACAACACATCTTACCAAGCAACTGAAATCCGAGGATCGAGGTAGTTCAGTTTACTTGTACTGAGAGCGATCTCTTTATTTTCATCTCGATCAGTTGCTTGAAGCTGCAATTTTGATAAAGCCTCTTTAGCAGATGCTAAGCGTTTCTTCAGCTTTTCATAAGCGACCTTCTTGGATGCTTGTTTGTGATTTTTGTAATCTGCTTTTATTTGTTTAGCTTCAGAAGTTATTTCCGAAATTTGCTCACGTTTTGCATCGATCTGCAATATAAGATGAGGAATTGTACGGTATTTGAACCTTCAAAATATGAAATCAGTGCAAACACAGATTTAGATACATATAAATTTTGAAAAGGATCGAAACGAAATATACAGTAAACAAGTTTTTATTCTCCTGATCTACCACAATGAAAAAAACACTAATAATAAAGCGATGCTTATGTAGTAATGATTGTAGTGCTATCTAACATTCACCACAAACTATGAACTGTTCGAAAATCCCTATTTAGCTAGAGTGATCGCATTGTCAAATGAAAAAAAACCCTACTAACCAATAAAGAATAGATAAAAAAAGCAAACAGAAGACACTTAGGAATTCGTTTATCAGGCCCTAACACCTATTTCTGTTGGGACGGTGAACAACATGTATGCTTTTAACTGAACACATCAACAGACATCTTTTCCAGTTACCTTTCACATAAAATTATTCTGTGCAAGGTAATACTTTGTCAATATTTAAAACATGAGCATTTCAGTGGTGTCATACTTCCCTTAACCGATAAAAATGTAGGGCATATTTACTGGACGCAACATTAAACTGTGTTAAATTAACAAAGCTAAACGGTAATAGCAATATGAAATGAATATCACCAGTAGATGAGAAACATTTTATCTATTTGCTGTATAAAGGAAGACAGGGAAAACTGGGTGACATTTGTCCCTTTCGACGAATAGTGAAGATAAACTTTGGTGACAATCGTCTAAAAGCAAGGCAAAGGGACTTCGCTTACAAATATTAAACTCCAGCATCCCGAGAGTGTAAGCAAGGCACTAACTAATAAATCTGATCTTTTATAGACCACTCATGTTTGTACATGACAATTTAAATATTTTGGCAAACAATAAATTGGGATTTACCAGAAAATTGCATTATATTTTTAAAAATAAACTTCAGGAAAATAAGAGAATGAATGTGGACAAATAAAATAAACGATAAAGAGGTATTTTGAGTCGAACTAAAATGACAGGTGCGTAGCCAATTAATAACTTGGACCGACTACTGTCGGATATATTTTTCATTCAAATTTGGTTACAGGATACTGTCGCTAGAAATATGCATCTTTTGAACACTTCAATTTCTTGGAAAGTTTGTATCTGGTATCGAAAATTATAGGGTTAGTGTTGGAATTTGTAAATATGGTACTCAATTAAATGTCAACATCCTTCTGATGGTGCAGAGAAAAAACACAAGTGTTTAGTTTAGCTCACACTTCACTAAGTAGAAGGAAGCATACCATAAGCACCACTATTAGAGCGCATTAAAAAAGGCTGTTGAACAGACATTCTATAATTGCTTAATGTGAACTAACTGGATTAACTTTTCATTTTTGATGCTGGTCAAATCTAGGTAAGGGAAAGATTAATGTCATAGGTTCAAAATCAAGGTTGTAAACACTTATAAAGTCAGTGTAATTCGAGTACTGAAAAGATAGTAATCACACAGACAAGGTTTTTAGCAATGACAGGCTAGTTATAAAATTTATAAATAACTTATCGGTTGTCGTTTTAAAACTGATTTATCAATATAAATAACTTGGACAAATTTCACATACTTTTTTCTGTAAATTTTCCATTGATTTTGCAAAAGATTTCGGAACTGAACGCTGATGGTTACAGAGAACAGCAACTGCTCGATTTGCTCGATTATATGCCAAAAGTTTAGCATGAGGAGGATCATCAGGATTGGTAAGCCGTTCCAACTGCTCTTCCAGAGTTCGACTTGCATTGTACGTACGAAATACTTTGGCAGTTAAACCATCCATAAGTTCTCGTAAATACTGATTCAGGACAGTCGTCTAAATGTTTTGTACATAATACTAAAATCTTGAAAGACCTACATTAAGTCGATCAAATAAATCATCATTTTCTTTTTTGTTCTTCAGAAATAGTTTGACATTCTTGAAGACGCGTTTAGGAACGGATACAGCATTTTGATAGCGAATAGAATCTTTACCTAAAAAATCGAATTCAACAACATAAGGTTGTCCGTTCAACTCTTCATGGAGTTTGATGTGTTCGTAGCGAAGTGAACAGCAACCAACAGTATCAGCTTCATCCTCGTCCTTTTCATTCCCAGCACGAAGAGCCAACTACAATCGGAAGTGGAAAAATGACGAGAATCATAAGTAGATGTATATGGTATATGATCGTCAGGAGCACCAGATATAACAGTCGTAGACGATGCAGTAACCATTATAATATCAAGACTTACAACTGTTTCCTTTACTAATGATTAGGTTGCCACTTAGTCATATATTTTGTATTTTCGGATTCGAAAATCTAAGCCCTGTATTTTACCTGAGTGTTGTTATGAAAGGAGTTTGTGCTATTATAGAATGGAGAACATTTCAAAGAGCGATATGAACCCTTACTCAAAACATCAATGTAGCCCATGTATATGCAAGGCTTTTTAATGAACCTTTAATAAGGCATTTACCAGTAACATATCTCTGTAATAAGCAGAAACTAAACAAAAAGAAAGGTAACAAGATTTTGAGTATGCATTTAATGATGTGTCGTATTAACGATCATCACACTAGCTCGTTATTATCTGTCACATTCCATCCGTATGGTAAATATTTGCAGAAAACTCATGTTTTTATAATTGCATAAAAGTAATTTAAAAGTTAGGGGTTATCTACCTTATCGATAAAATATAGTGCAACAGCTCGCTGACGTATCCGCATTTCTTTGTGTTTGAAATCAGCTCGGTAGTCTGCTCTAATTTTGTCGATTACCTTGTGTAGGCAACGAGCAGTTTCGTACTTTTTCCAATCTTTTTCACCCTGGAAAATAATTGTTAATCTGGATGCATAACCAACCTTAAGACGAGAGGATGGATTCAGCATTATGTATTTGAAGCTATTTTGGATATTTTCAGTCCAGCAGGCCAGCCAAGTAACACTGTTGTCATGTCTTACTTCTTTCCACTTGTGACCTTTTGGAGGAGCAGGAACTTTTGAGTCTTTTGAGCAGTTAATGATGACATCTTCAGGCATAATGCGCTTTTTTAACATGCCCATTTTAGGATGGTTGCCACGGCCTCGAAATAGGCCTGGAGGTTCAATACGGAAATTCCCGATTCTTTGCTTGTGTCCGTCCAATATGCAGTAGCCATATTCATTTTGAATTTGCAGGTTTTCTTCCTTTATCTTCTGTTTTTCCTCCTTAGTTCGGTTTTTTCTTTCTTCACTTAACTTTAGAAAATATTGATGCATTTCGCGGAAATCGCATTTGCTGAGGGATTTAATGGTTCGACGTTCTTCTTCATTCATTGTCTATTTAACGGAATCCGATATGAAACACAAATTACTTACTTTCACCCAGTCACGGAAGAAGTTGTGGTTGAACACTTCCTTTGTGGTATAATCATGATCCAACATACGTGCGTAAAACCCTGCAACTTCTTCTGCATGATCTGATAACTTGATAGGTTTGGAATCATAGTGAAAATGAACAGAGCTAGGCAAGCGTTCATAAGGAGGTGCGAAGAGTGGACCTTTATGTTCTAAGAATTTCCACTTGACACCGTCATCTTTCTTCTGCTCTTCCCACCACCTCCAAACTTCCTCTTCAGGTTTTTCATGCTTTCTAACTTTGCTAGGAGAACTAAGTGTATTTTCTTTTTTAATCTTTTCATTTGAAGACTTTGAATGTTCTTTTCTTTGGTCACCTTGGCTTTTATTACGAGGCTATGGCTGTATTAGAAAAATGAATCAGTTACCTGTGGAGAAACTGGAGGTTCCAATTTTGGCTTCTTGGACATCTGGGCTAATCTGAGACGAAGTAGATAGCTAGCAAATATGTCTTACTTGGCAGACAGAGGAATATCATCGTCATCGCTAGAGGACGAATGCATCCTACTTCGCTTTAACTTTTCAGATAAAGGGATGTCGTCCTCTACTTCTGCTTTGATAGAAGCATTAGAAGTCCCGTTGCCAACGTGAGACACATTATTCAGAACACCAGTCATCACTATGGAAAATGATGGCCAAGATTTACCATATATTCATAATGGGAAACAAAATATTTCAGTTAAGCAGTTACTGAATCTATATGATTTCTGTAAAGCCATCAATGGTGACGTATTACCCGTACGATGTTTGATGAAGATTTACTTACTCAATTTAGCCATATTCTGTGAGGTGTAGTAGTACTACCAAATACTCAAAATGAAATGGGATTCAAGATTGTGACCTACTGACTGGAAATTGTATCATGATCATTAAAAAACCGCACTCTGTTTGGAAGAGAGTTGGGCATTTTCACAATGTATGAGTAATATATGTCCAATTTATACAAGTATGTGTCTAGTTAGAGCTGAAAACTCTCACTTTTTATAGAACCAGTATTCCTAGTTGTTCACTTTTCCCTTTGATTTAGTCTAAGTTACCAGTTTTTGGATTACGCATTGTTCTCGAAATTGAACTAACTATGCATTCTACAGCAAGTTACAGAACCAACTTATTTTAAGCATCTTAAGAGTCCGTTTCCGTTCATTTACATTCAGTAAACTAAATAAAGTGACTATATCATGAACTTTGCTCGACCTCAGGTAACTTATGGTGTGTATGCTTCAATGTAGACTTAGACAGTATGGAGAAAACAAGCTCATTTCGGCGGGACAAATGCAACTCCATGTAACTAGATGAATCAGAATAGTGGCATGCATGTGTTGAATAAATCTTACAGATAAATAGCGTAAACACAACAACCTTAGGATTAACTGGTAACAAAGACGTAGTGAAAGAAGGCATTTTTACCGAATGGGAACGAAAGTAGAGAATCATAAGCCAAATCTCGAAAACAATCATCGTACTCAGTGACTGTGGCTCTATAGACACACGTCCTCAGTGTTATTTAGACCAAAGGTTATATGTGGAAAACAATAAGATGCTTCTTTTTCGGTTTTAGTTAAGAACAAGTATTATTAAGCTTAGAAATTAAGGCAAAACTACTCATTTTAAGGATTACTAGCAAAACGTGGCTTTACAAACTTCCCGGCTATAATTTATGTAAAGCAAAAACTAAGATCTTTACCACAAAAACGTTGCGGACATTGCTAACGCTATTATTTGAATGTATCAACCGCTTACATAAGAAGTTTGAACACGACAAGTTTGAATTCAGTATTGCTTATTGAATTTCAGTAAACTCAATTCACACCTCAACCGGTCAAAAGCCATACAATAAGCAGAAGCTTCAGAAGTCTAAGTAGTTTGGACTTGAAGGCCAGAAAACCTGATCAGGGCGTATCACAATGGGATGAGTACAACGATGTCACAATCTAAGAGTTGATACTTCATAGTGAGCAGGCTTATATGGAAGGGCATTGGAAGTTAATAAAATGCTACAAAAGACACTCAACCACAATACAAATGCTTTGATGATAAATATTACTAAATAACCTGTGCAGAAAACAAGATGACAAAAGGACAGACGTACCCTGTTTGGCGCCAACAGTCAGGTGAACTTCAATTATACGAACAAACGAACTGCTGCTAAACAAAATCAGAAATACCAACAGTCAAGTAGCTAGAGTTGTATTAGTTCAAATATAAAGTTCACTAATTTTCGAAATGTTTTGAAGATTAGTGGTTTGCGAAGTATTCGATTTCTTAGTTGATTGTCTTGAAAAAGACAAGAATGGTTTGGTGTGACGTCGTAAATAATGTATAAGAAGCAGTTAACTACATTTTATTATATTCAACCCTGACTATCCTCACAAAAGAACACACCATAAACTGGTCACGAAACGGTGAATCGCTGATGTACTAACTTAAACTAACAAGATTAGGTGTTGTTTCATCGTGAAATATGCTTCTAGAAAGGTCGATCAAAGCCGGGTTGTTTTGAAAGGATCAAATTCCGAATGGTTTGACACGTCTTGTTATAAATGTAATACATTCCAACTCAGAAAGCCAGATTACATTCATAAACATATAGACATCTTCAAAGATAAGAGTATAATTACTGAATTTTATAGTTATTGTCTTGCTGTTTAAGGTGGCGGAGCATATGCTAATAAAGGGAAGAACGTGCAGATTTTTTGAGAAATCTATATGTAGCCTCAGGTAGCTTCTGGGGAGATTCCTAGTTAAATTATACGGGAGCGTTTTGAGAGGGTAGGACCAATAGCGGGCTTGTAGATGTTCGATAATGCAATGAGAAAACAAAGTTTATCAGAATTATGTGATACTGTAGTGAACAAGAACACGGGTGGGGACAATGGAATGTATTTAACACAAAATTACAGAGCATCTCAATAAAATATGAGAACCATATATCAAATCGTTAATTTGCAAAATGTCCACCGATTGTCTCAAAATGCTTCAGACTTCATTGTTCTTACATTTTCATACAAATTGCATTTTATTCCCGATCTTGCGTTATTGATCTTCCCTCATCTTCTGCTGCCAGACATTACATTCCTAACTCGCATAATATACTAAGTAGCACGCACCACAATACATTTGGGCAAAACATTTCGAACAATCTGATCACACATAAACTTGTTATGAACATTTATATACGAAAATTAAAAGGTCAACTAGACAGGTTAAGGGTAAATCATAACAAAGGAAAAATAATAAAGTACACAAAAACAGATGTGATTACTACTCTGGATGATAAATCAGTATTACCAGGGTAGGTTAAGTGTATGGACAGATTGTTTTTGAACACATAAAGGAGGTTTTAATTGAAGCCTTGGCTATACGGAAATTGAAATCCCCTTTATGTGTTCAAAGACAATCTGTCCATACACTTAACCTACCCTGGTAATACTGATTTATCATTCAGAGTGGTAATCACATCTGTTTTTGTGTACTTTATTATTTTTCCTTTGTTATGACTTACCCTTAACCTGTCTAGTTGACCTTTTAATTTTCATATGTATATGTTCATAACAAGTTTATGTGTGATCAGATTGTTCGAAATGTATTGCGCAAATATATCACATAATTCTGATAACCTTCGTCTTCTCATTGCATTATCGAAATTTATCATAGGGACTAATTGTTGTAAATGTTCAGTGATTCCTCAATAACAGTGTATGTTTTGTCGTTTCTTTTATTCTGTATTTTATCTTGTTCGTTCATAGCATTTAATCTGTTTGATTAAAAACAAAGAAACCTGCTGTAGATTGTTTTAACCAGACAGACATTGTTGATATTATGAAAGCTGAGCAAACATAAGTTAATGGAATCAAATCGGGTTCAACAATATTGACGTGCCCTCCATGGACATTCCTTGATAAAATGGACCACCAAGCCATCTTTCTCGTTTATTTGACTTGTGCTACTGATGTTTTTAGTCGTACCAAATGTTGATGTATTCACGTTAATTCATCCCTTTGACCCGGTCACATTCGAATTTGCTTGGTTAGTTTCGTTGTGCTTTAGTGGAGCTATAGGATAAAGTCATGTCACTGGTATTATTATAATAAGCGACAGAATATTCCTGTTTATTCTGCATAACTGGTAGAATTTTATTGCAGGCAGTGTAACTTAGAAATGTCATAATAAATCATGTATCATGCAACTCCATTGTTGTAGTACGCGGTGATACAAGTTACGGAAATCATCTGACATCTGTTATTTTCTGTGTTCAACCTATCAGTTACATCATTGAATTTCTAACCACCATGAGACGTATTGTATAAATATCCATGATTCATAACCACAGAAAATAAACAGAAGGCTTAAACTAACAGGATATGTCAACCACTGGCCTAGAGACTATTCTATGATTGCTTCACCATATATCAAATATCTTGCTTCTTTATGTAGTCCGGTTATTATTGACGTGTCACACTTACTCTACCTTTTTCCTGCACGTCGGATAACCATAGTTTGGTCATTCTCAATGAGTATCCTACACGTCACCTTATCTGTTTTCATAACTTGTCTACTAGACGATTGCTTGCTAAAATAGCGCTACTTAGCTTACAATGCTCCCATGCATCACTTAGCGACTAACTGTCAAAAATGTCAACAACCAAAGTCAGAACCTCTCTGGATCTAGCGCATTAAATTAAACCTTGTCTTGATCCATCAACTGAATGGAAGCTACAAAATATTTACCAATATTTAGTAGCTGGTCATAATTTCACATCCTAATATCATCTTATCATTCTCAACACGTTGAGTTTCCCTGGTTTTTGTTCAGGAACATTAGTAAAAGAGGTCCAGGTAATGTTTTATCATCATAATAAACAAGGTGCTATCATAATCCCATGTACCAAGACTGGTCTGCCAACCGATCTACCCCAGTCTAGCTTACGTTCTACGGATCCACGGGCAAGATTGTCAGCCATTTTCCTTCACGAAGTTTATTTTTGGCCTCTTCAAGCTGTTTATCAGCCGCAGCCTGGCACTTAGCTCCATGATGAACATCTGATTTATGATGTGTACTAAGCTCATTCCTTTGGTGTCTGTTTTGTTAACTTTTGAAGCTTTATTTTAACTTATCTAGCTTCTTGAAACTCCATAACGTCACTGATTAAACGTCAGCTAGTTGTTCCTTGGTGTATGCTCTTTTAGGACTTGTCTTTCTGACCAGACCTTAACTTGATCAGTTTCGGTAGTTGTACGCCTGATTACGACTAAGCTAATCAGAATAGATTTTCACCATAAATCATTCAGTGATTATAGAGCATGTTGATGTTTTTTACCCTGAAGATGAACACTTGCGCACATTAACGAATTATTATTATTATTATTATTAATGGCTTTATTCAATTAACACAACCCATTACTGGACACGATTAAAAATAATCTTATAATGAATGAACAGCGAATGACGGAGATTAGAGCGACATTTATATAGTAACAATTAAATAATCAAAGGAACACGAAACAGCACCAAGATCTTGGTTAACTTGGTCGGTTTGTTAAATAATTTGCGCTCAGCATTGAAGTTCACGTAATCTCATAGATCTGTGGCGAACACTGAACCAAGAGCTCTGGTCACGAACTTACGGTAATAATGCTGATTTATCATGCAAAATACCTCATTAAATAGTGGTACGAACGTTGAATTGGTTTCACTTCCTACCCAGTAATCCTATTACAGGCAAACTAGACAATTCGTTAATATGCGAAGCCTACTCAAGACCCGATGATACCTTAAAAAGAATAATAATACCCAAAAAATGAAAAGGGCTCCAATAGCTTCGATAAAAAAGGAAAGATAGCCAACTGTATACCACAATACTGTTTTTAGCACTATATTTTATAACCACACATAATCCCATACTCTCAGCTCCTTTCTGAATCGCCTCCATTTGTCAGTTATATGTCCACTCATACCTTGTTTACACTTATTCTCTTTAACCTATTAAAATTCTCTTGCTTAACGGATACCTTAATAAAAGAAAATTAGATTGAGTAATCATACCTTAAACATTCCTCAATGAAAATATTGGCTACTCTGCCTCTCGTCCTTTCTTTTACTTGTTCCCTCTTTCAGCCTCCATGAGGTATGAAACGAGTGACTTCATCCTGCATCATCCTTAAAGCCTTAGATATTCCAAAAGGACATAAGGTTGCGATTTCTAGAAACTTCAACCTTCAATGGATTTATTCTTGACAATCAGTTGCACATTCGCAACGCAACTTTCATGAAGAGTGCCAACTTTGATATTGACTAAAACCATCTACATTCATATCTTATAAATTATAAACCCAGTTGAGTAATTTACTACAGTCGATATTGTATCATTTGTAACAAACTGATCTTGCCTGTAAACTGGTATGCCTTATGTAACAAACTGTTATTTGAGAATAAATTACTATTATTATTATTTTGTAAAGGATAGATGAAGTGTCATCTGCACCAAAACTTGCATTTGGCTACTACGTTCTCGTGGCGGTGTGTATATTGCCAAGACCAAAGTTTGTGGTATTAAGATTATTTTTGCTGATGCACTTGATATCGCAATTTGGGGTATGAGATTTATTCCTATTGCGGGAAAAGGATTAACCAAGTAGTTGACATATAAAAATTTGGTTACAATACGTCACACTGTCGTACAGTATAGAGTAAATGTTGTGATCCACACTCTTTCTTATGTGCCTTTCAAGGAGTGGATGTGGATTTTGGGATTTAAATGCTCTATTTTGCGTAGTGCGTTGCTCTGCCTGTTTGGGTTTTGATACTGTTTTTGCACTCCCTCAAATACAGAGTACAATTGGTGAAGGGTAATAAAGAATTTCGATATATAATACATCCCCACGAGCTTTTGTAGCTTAGTCCTGATTTTTTGGTCGACATTAGAAGCTGTTGTTTTAAAAGTGATTTCGGAGGGAATATTTGTGTCTGGTGCGGATTCATTGAAAATATTGAATATTTCCAGTGTTTATTAAAGTTAATCACTGATTGTAACAGTATGAAAACCCTGAGAATCTCTCTACGACATCTTTTGTTCAGTATTGTCAGATATTCGTTTGTTATTTCTGTCTTGTATTTTAACCTTTAT